TTATTCAAGCTGCCAGATTCTTAAAAAAATATCCTTCCCCAGCTGTAAGTAATTGCCTAGGTCATCTTGTACCTAGGCAAGTGTTACTACTGAGAGAAAAGCAGCCAGTAGCTGGCAGGTGTTCTGCACCTGGTTAAAGGGGGTGGGGTGGGGTGGGGTGGGATGGAGTGGAGTGTGTGTGTGTGTGTGTGTGTGTGTGTGTGTTTATATTTTTACATGATTTATTTAGTTATTAGAAAGATAGATAAACAAAGAGAAGGAAAGACAAAAAATGAATCTGCTGATTCACTCTCCAATTTGTCACATTAGCTGGAGCTGAGCTGATCTGAAGCCAGGAGCCTCTTCCAGGCAACCCACATGGGTGCAGGGTCTCAAGGTTTTGGTCCATTCTGTATGGCTTTCCCAGGCCACAAGCAGAGAGTCGGATGGGAAGTGGAGCATCTGGTACACAAACTGGCATACATATGGGATCCCGGCGCTTACAATGTGAGGATTTAGCTGCTAGGCTAATGTGCTGGACTCCACTTATTTTTAAAAATTTTTACTTTCTGTGATATAATTCCATAGGCTCAGGGTTTTCCCCTTCTAGCCCCCTTCTCCCTGCCCCACATTGTTTTCCACTATATTATTACAATAGTAATAGTAATTACATTCTACTGTTTAAGTACATCATGATCTTGTAAGTATAGACAATGGCATGAAGTACAGCATCTTGTTGTCAAGATACATTTAACAATTTCATTGGGAGTTCTCTTTTAATTCAGGAGTACAGATGCATACTACAGTATATCTTTACTTCTCAGTGTGCTCGTCTCCATATCTACAACAGGAAGAAGTCCAGTTTCATTCTTTTACATACAGCTATCCAGTTGTTCTTGTACCATTTTTTTAAGAGACAATTATTGCTGAATTGAATTATCTTGGCACCCTCGTCAACAACCAGCTGAACAAAATGTGATTGTTTGTATCTGGGCTTTCAATTCTGTTCCATTGATCTACACACCTATCCTAATGGTATTAGCACACAGTTTGGCAACTGTAGTTCTGTATTAAATTTTGAAATTTAGAAATGTGAGTCCTCTGAATTAAGACTGTTTTAGCTATTCTAGGTCCTTCAAATATATGAATTTTAGATCCAGTTTATCAAAGAAACTTGCTTGCAGAGAAATCTGAGATTTTTATAGGAATTATACTTTATGACATACCAAATCATAAGTAAGTTATAATACTGGAAAATATTCCACGTATACTTAAGAAGAATATGTATTCTACTATTCTTGGACAGGTGTGTGTTAAGTTCAGTCAGTTAAAGTTTAGGATTTTCTATTGATTTCTACCTAGCTTTTTTCACCCCAAAGATTGATTTATTTGAAGGGTACAATTAGAGAAAGGGAAGGGGAGACAAAGAGAGACAGAACTCCCGTTTACTGGTTCACTGTCCAAACGCCTGCAATAGCTGAGGTTGGACCCAGGCCAGAGCCAGGAGCTAGGAACTCAATCCAGGTCTCCCACATGGGTGAAGAAGGATAGAGTTAGGGTCTAACTACTGGAGTTACCACTTGCTGCCTATCAGAGTGCTCATAAGCAAGAAGGTGGAGTTGTGAGCACAACTGGACTCAAAACCAGGCACTTTTTATATGGTATGTGGGCATTTTAACTACTGAGTCCACTGCCTACCCCTGTGGCAACTGTATTGAAGTCTCTTTTGTCCTAAGTCCAATATAGTGTCCTTTCAAAGGCAGTTTCTGTTACCTGCTTTTTTTTTTTTCTTGTATATGTTGTATATTTTTCTGTCTCGGCATGCTTCATAAAGTCTTATTGAAAACTGGACATTTTAAGTAAATGTTACAAGAACTCTAGACACCAATACCCTCTTCTCTTGGTTTGACCATGCATTTAGTGACTTAATGAAACTCTTTCTGAAGTCTTATTTTTCCCTACACGATGTAACTTCTGATGTTCTGAAGGTGCAACCTGGATAAGGTGCACTGTTACCCTGGGAAAGTAGTGTTTTAGCAGGTCCTCTTCCTTCTCTTAAGTTCCTCCCTGTGTCAGCTTCATTCCCAATTGTTTGCTCCCACTTATCCACAACTTATCTGGCTATGCTTTGTATAATGCCCTAAGGTATAAATTGTTCCATAGTCTCACTCCAGTTAAATTTAGGTTCCTGTTTGCATTATTTTTGAGGCAAGATTTTAAGACTTGTACCAACATTAGGAGGGCTCTTTTTAGCTATTTTTCTTTGATTTTCTTTATCAAAGCACCTAGCTTGTCTTCAGTTTAGCTTCTTGTTCTTACTGGGCTACTGGCCTCCTCTTATTTGCTTAGAACCTTAGAGCAGCAAAACATACAGCATCTTGAAACTATCAAAACCACTCAAGCAACACCCTCAATAACATTCATCTCCATATCAGGGTTTTTAAAATAACATCAAGTGGACGCCCCCATCCCTAAGTACTGATGTAGTTTGGCAGCTGGGAGCAGCCTCCCATCTTGATACAGGAGAAAAGGGAAGAAGGGGAAAATTGGAAGAATTTGTCCCATCCATCTCCCCCCAATACTTGGATCCTCCCCACTCTAATTGAGTGATCTTCATAGGTGTGTATTCTTGTCAACTATGTAAACAGCATCAAAAATAAAATAAAAAATTTTAAAGGAAAAAAAGAACTAAAATCCTTATTGTTTTTTGAAAGTGTCCCTAGGCTCAAAATTTCCTACATTCTGTTTTAAATAAAGTCAATTCTCTTGGGAAAAGTTATGGAGAGTTTTATTCTGCCTGCCTCTTCCTGAAGGGAAATTTCTGTACCACTGCTCTAGAGCTGGTGGCAAGCATAGTAGATTAACTCCTCCTTTATGAACTGATAATTAAGCAGAGCTTACAGCTTCTGATTTGTTTGTCTCTTACAGTGTGAAACCTCTATCTAAGGTGGTTCAAGGACAATCAGGCCCTAGTACTGTCACCAAGCCCTTCCAGGGATAAACCTGTTATTTCTCCAGAGGGGTGTGTGTGTGTGTATGTGTGTGCTTTAGGAGGGTGGGTTTGAAGGTAGGGAGGAAGGGAGTCCTGAACTCTTAGCCATTCCTGCATGGATTAACTTTTCTGTAATATCGAAATAAAACTGGAGAGAATGAAAAATGATGGCTTGGGGCTGCTGCTGTGACATCACATCCCATATGTGCACTGGTTTGAGTTCTTGCTATCCCACTTTCAATTCAATTCCCTACTTAATGCCTTGCAGAAGACAGTCCAAATCTTTGGGCCCCCACACCCCTGCGGGATATCCAGAAGTTCCTGGCTCCTGGCTTTGGACTAGCCAGCTCAGCTCTGGCCATTATGGCCAGCTGGGGAGTGAACCTGCAGATGAAAGAGTTCTCTGTTTCTCCTTCTCTCTGTAAAATATGTCTTTGAAACAAAAATTTAAAATTTCAAAAAATGAAAACTTATAGTGAACTAGCTCTCCTGGTGAGAAATACAGTGGCTCCAAACTGGGATCTAGTGGGGGAAGATTTGTGCCCTTGGCCATAAGCACCTGGAGGAGTACTTCTATTATGTGTGTTGGGATAGGGGAGGGTGTAGGTTCATAACCAAATGCCACACTCCCTCATTGCTCTTAACAAGATTTGGTAAATGTGCTAGAATAAGTATTTCTTCACCTTCTGTGTGTCTTTTGGACAATTTGCAGATGATTTAGTGGCTGGTTTTCTGAAAAGATTTTTTTTTCAACATTTATAATCTTCTCACTATTTTGTCAGCTGCACTCAGCTCTTTTCTAAGGTTCTTTTAACCAGGCTTATACTTTTAAGTATTCAAAAATCTGGAGAGCACTGCTAGATTCTTGAATGGACATTTCAGTCCTTTACAAGCCTTTTCAGTATATTTCTGCATCCTTAAGGGGTTAAAAAAAAGAGGGGACTACAATGGATATTTAGATACTGTTTGCTTTGTAGGAGAAAAGTCTGCAACATGGATATTGAAATAATACTAGAAAAAAGTAATAGATGCCTTCTTTTTAAATACCTAAAAATCTAAAAATATATTAGGGGAGATGCTTCCCATGCCAAAGAGGAAATACATAGGTAGGCAGCTCATAATTTTAAAAGGTTGTTCAGCCTCTGGGCTGTCTGTTCTAGAGGGGAAAGGATTAAGGGCTTATTACCAAATATTTATTCATGGAAGAAAATGAGATGAATGTTCTGAGAGAATTCCCAGCCTGGATGCCCTTAGCATCAAAGAGCTCTGTAATCAAAATGGAAGAGAAAGAAAAATGTAGTATTGTGAAGAATGTATTAACTTCCTCAGGAAGATCTGACAAAGGTTCCATTAAATTCATAAATTTACATTATTAAAAGAAGGATATACAGATAAATCAACCCATAGGTCACACTGTTGTGGTAAGCTAATAGCACATTCATTGCATCCACCTCAATTTAGGAGAAATGTTGTGCCTTACATATTCCTTTTTCAGGCAAAGTATCTATAGCTAATAGTAAAAACCACCTGAGAACTGCATATTATTTAATAATAAGAAAACCACTTTGACTCTGATTCCTAAGTTAATTTCCTTACTAAAACATATATATTCACAAAAAGTAATATAAAGTAGGTAATTCAATGCATATTTTTACTAATTGCAGGCTTGTCAGTGTACAGTGTGGGAATAAATAATAAACCCTAAGTGCTTCCTTCCCATTAAGCTATCTGAGGATTAATAAACAATACAAATATCTGTCTAAATCAGATTATCTCCAGACTTCCTGGATCTCAACTTAAAATAATATTATTTAGTATCCCAGATTTTTTCTCAGTGTTAACAGAATATTAAACAGATTTCCAAGAGATTTTTCTCTGTATAAACTCACACAATGTTATATTTGCAATGTGCTTCCTTGAGCAACTTAAAACTATTTTGTTTTCTGGCTGATACCACAGGAGAAGTGATGCGAGTCAGAGCATGCACTCTGTGCTCAGGGGCTGCTGGCACATCTCCTCATGTACTTACCTGAGGCAGTCATCTGTGCTAAGAACAGCAAGTACACAGAGGTAGCATCCAACTGCAGATGACCCCATTGATCATCACCCACTACAGTGGCACAGGTTTTGGTGTTGTACTTGGCATGGAGGCTATCCTTAGTACTCTGACTATACTTGAACGATTCTACTTTATCCACCTGAAAGAAAAAACAGAAAAGGATATACAGAAAAATCAAGCTATACATCTGTAAAAAAATTTTTTTTTAATTATTAATTTACTTACTAGGAAGGCAGAGACAGAGATAGAGAAAATGACAGAGAGAGAGAGAGAAAGAGAGAGAGCTGCCATTCACTGGTTCATTCCTCAAATGGGCACAATACCTAGAGCTGGACCAGCCTGAATTCAGGAGCTGGGAGCTTCTTTCCACAAGCCATGACATTCTTCCAGATCTCCCACATGGGTACGGGGCACAAGAACTTGGGCCATCCTTCTGCTGTTTTTCCAGTCCATAGGCAGGGAGCCGGACTGCAAGTGGGACAGCTTGGACTCGAACTGGCAGCCATGTAGGATGCCAGCAGCAGCTTTACCTACTACATCACAGATTAGGTCCCTCTTCTGTAGTTTTCTAACATGTATTATTGAATTCTACCTTTTGGCAATTGTGAATATTTAAAATTAATTGTTACTACTTTTGCTCGGTTTTTCTATGTAGCCCAAGTGATTAGAAATCATCAAATAGAACCAGCAGCACCCTAAATTGCCTGTCTTTCATATCTCAGATGGTTACTTCACCACATCACAGACATAAACAGGTACAGAAAGCTACAGCTTATGGAGGGCACGGAAACCAGGATTGGGGCTGGGGGGGGGGTGCTAGACAGAAAGGCAACCAACAGCATGTGTGCGGGCTGCATAGTCAGGCTTGTTGGGTTGAACTAGGCTTCAATGTCCATTGACATGTATGAGAGCTGAATGGAATGTGGGACAGACTGGACTAGGCTGCTGCACACACTGGCAAACCAGAACAAAGGGTGGGTCTGGTGGGGGCTATTGTGGGTCACTCCGACTAGGCTGCAGCTTCCACTGGTTTATGTGAGGACCGAGTATGTGCTGGGCAGAATCAGGCTGGACTGCAACACCCATTGGTTCCAGTGGAAGACAGGACTGGAAACAGAACCGACCCAGCAATTGCAACCACCAGCTGATTGGAGCGATGGACTGTGCCAGGCCCTGTATTTCCTAGTACATACAAGAATCTGGTCTGGGAATACCTCAGACAAAGTTTCTTTTGGGATCTTCCCAAACAAACTGCTGGACTCAGAACCCTAACCATGAAAAGACAGAGGACAGAACAAATCAATCAACCAACCTCAGCTATATGTTGGCAGTGAAAAACTGGGCAAACAGAGACTCTAAGATGGACTATGTCAATCAGTGGATTCTTCAACGATCTCATCATGCTTAGAATGATGAGATTGGCAGCAATTCATAACTGTTGAACTATCAAAACCACTTGAGCATGACCCTCGGAGCATGCTCCACATCTGGGACCTGGGTGGGATAGGTAAGAGACTGGGTGGGGCTTCTCCCTTAAAATCCCCCTTTACCTCAGATACATGATGGAAACAATGTGGAAATAATAGTCTTACCCACTTTCCTGTAGCCCTTGAACCTTTTTACCCTAATTAAAGATTGTCAAAAATCTAATTTAAAAAATGGAAAAAAAGAGAAAGCTACAGTTTAGTAAAAGATAACTGAATGTGAAAAGATTCAGAGGAAAGATATCACAGAAAGCTGAAACTAGAGGTCAGAAGACAAATTGAAAGAGTTCCCAAAACTTAGACTTGATTACATGATAAATGGGAGTGATCATTACTCCTTAGATAGTTCATGAAATTAGTGACTTTAGATTTGGCAAGGTAGAAAATGCAAACGTCTAAAATACCAAAAGAAAAAACGTCGCAAAAAGAGAAAACAAGGATATGAGACAACAAACACTAATAAAGTTAAGAAAAATGTGGTTGATTTCTTTCTACTTTAGACTTGCTGTGCGCCAGTACCAATGGGCAGGCAGTCACTTTATCCATCTGGGTCTCAATTTCTTCCTCTGATAGAAACATAATTTTGAGCTATAGAAAATAGAATCAGATTCAAGGTGTGTAATGTTCTTTAAGATCTCCTAAGACAGAGCATGAGTGTGTGGCATAGCTGATAAGTGAACACCTGGGATGCCTGCATTTCATAACAGAGTGCCTGCCTGGAGTCCTGGCAATTTGTTTCCTGCTAACATGCATTCTGGGAGAGAGAAGGTAATGATGGCTCAAGTACATGGGTTCCTGCCACCCACATAGGAGGCTCTGGTGCAGTCCTGGCTGTTGTAGGCATTTGCAGAGTAAACCAGCAGATGAAAGATCTCTCTGGTTGTCTATCTCTCTGTTTGTACAATGAAATATAGATCTCCTAGAATAAAACAATTTTCAGGTAAAGTACTTTGTATGAAATGTATCACAAATAAAAGATAAGTGGTAGACTGATATTTGCGACAAAGAATTAATAACCAAAATGTATACACATTTTTAGATAGACAAAAAACATGTATCTATGAAGAAAAATAGGTAAAGAACCTAGTTTGCCAATTAGGAAGTACAAATTTTCCACCTAAAAATGAGAGGATGCGCAAGTTCACTCAAGGTCAGGATGATACTAATCACTATAAGGAAACACAAGACCAAGGTCACTTATACAAATTCTAAAGTCTAAAACACACCGAAAAGTTTCTTTTCCTCTATGAATTAATTTTTCCACCAAAATTCATTTCATGGTAACAAATTGATAAAGGCATATTTAGAGGCTTTATGTATTCTACTTAGTATGAAAATGCATGTTTCTCTACAGAGATATTAATGTTCTTGATTATGGAGTGTTGTCAACCTCCTAAGATAATCTATGGTATATGCACTGTAGAAGTAAAACAAGATCTGAACTAAAATAAAACTATCATTTAAGTTCACTTTCCACAAACTTTCTGACGACCCTAACTCTACCTTTTAAAATCTGAGTAATTCTTAATTTGAAAGTTGATCTAGTGTGGCCCTAATGGTTTTTGAGGAAGATTTTTAAATTTCTTTCATCTTTTACTCAATATACACAACTGCAGGAACAGTAATGAAAAAGTACTTGTAAAGAATCATTAGTAGATTGGGAAAAACAGACTGAAAGAAAATATTCCAGTAGTAATTGTGTGGTGAGACTATGAGTGGGATTTTTCCTCTGAATTACCCAAATATTTTAAAATGAGTGTGCACCTTTTGTGAATTCAAGAAAACTATAAATACTTGCTGCTACTAATGAAGTGTTTTTATCAGAGCAGAAGCTGTTACCAACGTCATACCTGTCTGATCATGCAGTGCAACAGTCCCCTCATCAGCTTCACTACACTCTGCAAAAATAAATGGAAACAAGACTGTTATAAACATCCCCAGATACAAGAACACTTATTCAGCAACTGCAGTTGGTACATGACCTTTTGAAAACAAGTAACTCTATCCTGGGTTCCTATTTACATGGCATTTACTTTATAGGGACACAGCAGTACAGATTGCAGCTAAAAGAGGAATTGAAAGCTACAGTTTGTGATTCCATCAAGTTACAAGAAATAATGCATGAGCTGGCAGGTTGATGTAAAAATATCTTATTGAATAAATCCCTCCTGGAGAAGAGGCAAGTCAGTTCAAACATCATAATGCTCCAATGATATTTTGAAATATGAGTGATCGTCAAAAAGTTCACGAAAATGCATGTTATGAAAAGACTATGCATATTATTTACATTTTTGCAACAACATAAACTTATCCTCTAATTACATTTTCCCATTAGCTTTTTGAAGTCCCCTTTGTATATCCCATGGCCTGGTAAGTCTTCACCAGAATACATTTTTTTTTTTCTAAACTAGCCAAAACTAAAGTTACTAGAAATATTTATCTGGATATTTCCCTTAAACATTGAATTGAAGTTCAATTTAGAATAAATGTAAAGGGAAATTGTTAGCATGACTCAACCCCTTTTCCATGGAAAAGTCACAAACTTCTTCAGCTACTATTTCCCCCACTAGGGTTTAGAAATTTCTCAATTAGCTTGTTTTCCATCCACCCCTAAACTCTGATGAACAACTATATATCACCTGACACTCGGAAGAATCAACAGTGGCACAAGTAGGCAAACGGTTTTGGGATAACACTTTTCGAAAAAGCTTTCAGTTTCACAGTTCAGAAGAAATCCAGTCATGTTACTCCCAGGAATGCTAGCTCAGAGGTCGTTTTAGGACACTAATCTAATCTACTTGGGTGCTATATCATTCTGTTTTTTTTTTTTTTTTGGCAAAGCATATTCAAAGTAGGCAACAAGCAATAGGCATGAGAATAAGTTCCTATTAAAGTATGCTCCAAAGTGTATAAAGCCTTTTACTAAGGGAAAGGTAAATATTGTTTCCTCAAGTGAGTCCTGTTTCCTAAGTAATTTCTATCCATAAATGGCCCCCTTACCTTACAGGTCACAGGAGAAGCAATAATAATAAGAGAAAAAGTATGAGAGATGAGAGGGCAGTGCATGATCTTATCACATTTTAAAGCCTATTACTACAAAGTAATGAATTTTATTGTAGCCCCTACAAGAAAAAAAATCTGTATCATTACTTTGACTTTAATGAAACAGACTATCCATTTAATATATATTACATATGTTTATATATATATTATATATATATATACCTTGTTAGCAAAAATTATTCAAAGTTTTCATTTATTCAATTCTGATAAGTGTCACATCATGCCCAAAGTCTTCTATCATATACTTTCTTCTCTAACATGCAACAAATCAGAGGGGGAAGCAGAGGCAAAATTTTCAAAATTTTCAATAGTCTTTTCTATGGCCTCAAAAACTAATCTTTAAAGCATCTAAAAGGCCTCCAATCAATCACTATGGACTCAACTTCTATGCCATTCTGTAACATGCTTTGCCCCACTTCATAGGCTTCTTTACTATTTTACTGCCTTATCCACTTTCTCTCTTGCTTACCCATTAATTCTTTTTTTTTTCTTTTTGCCACTATTCCTACTTAAATTTTCTCAAAGCAGTAAGTGTGTGATGTCACAGTCACAGTGGAGGATGGAGGATTCCTGCTTTTCACCCATTTTTGTCCTCCTGGAATGGCCACCATCAGCCATTTCTGTGTTCAAGTTCAGGATAAAATCAACAAGAAAGAAGGGGAGGTAGGAGTGCCAGGAAGTCTCTGTACTTTGTCTCCCACAGCAGCTGTTTTCTGAATTAAGTACACTAGATGGCAATAATTATACATGCACATTTGTACAGCAGGGCTTCTACTCACATAAACTGACACATCACCTCTTACCTACCTCTTTTTTAAGGTTAATTTGCTTTAAAAAATTATTTCTTTTGCTTTATGAGAGAGGGAGGATACACTGCTGTCTGTTGTTTCACTCTTTCACTTCCCAAATGATCCAGGCCAATTTCGGAGCTTGATCTGGGTCTCTCACATAGATGGTGGAAACTCAATCTCTTGAGGCTTACTCAAACATAGACACTCCAATTTCAGATTTGGACATCTCAAGTGTATTTTTAACTGCTAAGGCCAAATGCCTACCTACCCCTTATCTCATCTTTTTGAGGAAATGATCTTTGTACCTGTGAGCTGGCTACATAATTACACACGGCCATATATACCAGGCTTTGTGGAACACAAAGACAAGGGAGTAGGAAATATATTTTACAAAGATCAAATTACAAGTCAATTCAACAATTCCTAATTATCCTTTACAACTCAACTCCTCTATGAGAACTACCTTTGCTGTGTTCAAAATGCTGTCTAGACATTCCTGCCTCTGTGTACTTCTATAGAACTTAACATTATCTTTAATATGTACAGTACCTATAGTACTCGGCTCAATGTAATTACCTGCTTATATATTTGTCTACCTCATTAGACTTATAAACCCCTTGAGAAAAAGGGGCAGAGACCAGGTTCAGAAAAAGACCTTTAAGACAATTAACTAGCAGGTTGTATATTAAAAACCCTAATTCATGTATGCAAGTAACTTTCTGTTTATTTTGTGTTTTTTAAAATGTATTTATTTTTATGTGAAAAACAGAGTTACAGAGAGAGGAGATAAAGGGAGAGATCTTCAAACCACTGCTTCGCTCCCTAAATGGCCTAAGTGGCTGAAGCTGAGCCAATCTGAAGTCAGGAGCCAGGAACTTCCTCAAGGTCTCCCTCAAGTCCCCCATGTGGGTGCGAGGGCCCAAGGACTACTGCCATGTTTCACTGGCTTTCTCAGGTAATAATCAGGAAGCTGGACTGGAAGTGGAACAGCTTGGACAGAACCAGTACCTATGTGGGATATTCATGCTACAGGTGGAGGATTAGTCTCCTATGCCAAAGCACTAGGCCCTGTGACTAACTTTCAATTGGCTTCTCAAAAAGTAAATTTAAAATGTTATAAAATAAATGTTAAGTTTAAATAAATACATGAACAAAAATTCAAAAAGGCCAAATATAAAAAAATCATATATTGGGATGGGCATTGTGGCACAGTAGCTTAAACTTCTACCTGCAGTGCTGGCATCCCATGTGGGTACCAGTTTGAGTCCCAGTTACTGTACTTCAGTTCAACTCTCTGATAATCTGCCTGGGAAAGCAGCAGAAGAGAGTTCAAGTGCTTGGGCCCTTGCAACCACATCAGAGATTCAGAAGTAGCTCCAGGCATCTGTCTGCCACAGCCTTGGCCACTGCAGCCTTTTGGAGACTGAAGCAGCAAATGGAAGATTCTCTCGTTCTGTAACTCTGACATTTAACTAGCAGGTATATATATATATATATACACACACACACACACACATACACATGCATTTATGGGAGTGTAAGGAGGTAAAGTGTGAAAATATAAAATACCGTCTGGAGCAGGTATTCAGTTTATTAAGTTAAGATCCACATTTCCCGTGTTAGAATGCCTGGTTTTGAAAACTGGTTTTGGCTCCTGACTTCAGCCTTCAGCCTTCAGCCAGACTCGGGTAGTCAATGCCGGTTTCCTGTCATCCACGTGGGGAGAGCAGGATAGGATTCCCAGTTCCTAACTCTGGCTTGGCAAACCCTGGTTGCTGCATGTTCATCTTTCCATCTCTCAAATACATAATAAAAATTAAATTAACAATTAGAAAAATTGTTAAATTCTATAGATAGAATATTTTATTCTAACAATTTTGTGTAAGTTTGAGATTTTCCAAAGAAAAAGTTGAAGGTTATATCTAAACATTTTGTCTAGAATTTTTTTTTTTTTAATTTTTATTTCAGGACCTGGCCTATAACGATTATACAAACTGTTAAATAAAAAAAAAAAATGAACACGTAGAATTTCACAGACAACAAATGACCTAGATATTTTAAGAAAGGAGTCCTGAGAAAGAAGCAATCATGGTACAATTTAGTGGTCTGGAAGGAGGAGGTCAGGGACCATAGATGAAGTATGATTACTGGTAAGTTTTCAAAAGTGGATACTTCTTTCTATTGGCAGGGAATGGGCACGGAGAAGACACCACCTGTAAGAAGACGGACATGGCAATGTCTAAAACTATGGAGACAAAAATGTAAACATGACTGAATCTCAAGTCCTAAGACCCACATGACACCAACAAATTCCAGCTTCAATGGTGTGCCCTTAAATCCCTTCACTTGTAAATTGGGAACAGTAATAGTTTATTCATACTGTATTGTGATCCTAAAATATTGACAATTACTATGTTTCTGCAATGAAAAATATTTACACAGATGCCAGGGTTTTATTATTATTATTATTGTTAAAGAACTGTTCTAGGAATAATGAATGTACTACCTGAGCTACAAGGGGGTGGAGGCTGTGGGAAAGTATGATGGAGGGCAGCAGTGTAATACTGTCTTGGCAAAGTAGGCCAAGACCAAACTGGAGAGCCTTCCCTATCAATCCAAGCTATCTAGATTTTACTTTTAAGGGAAATGAACCACATAAAGATGGTGGTGGATGAAAATGATGAAATCTAAGAATCTAAGTGTATTTTCCACACAGTGTTAGGTGATAAAAGGTTCACATTAGGTTTGAGAGGAAGAGAAAGGAGGACCTTTCACTTGAATGAATTTAAGATAAATTATAATAAACAGGATTTGATCTGTGTGAATTAAAAGACAAGAGGGAAAAGTAAAAAAAAAAAAATCACCTTAAATAGTAGTTCGAAAAATTCTGTTAGGCCCCCAAATCCACTCCATCCTATATTCAAAATGTATATTAGTCTATCAAAGGTTCTGAGAAGGCATGGGTAAAAGAAATTTGGAGTTCAACATAGCCAATTGTATTTGGCCTCATGTTCCCCAGAACAGGATATGGGAAATACTCCAAGTAATGTTCCCGGGTGACGGGCAGAATGAGGACACCAACAAAGGCATACTTTGGTGAACTGTTGTTTGGGAGTTTGCTTTTTTTTTTTGGTTGGGAAGGTGGGGTTTGAGCAGACACAGGATATGCAGACAAAACCAATGAACATTAAGCTAGCATTTGAAACTAAAGTGAGGTCAAAACTTTATTTTTGGAAGATTTCAAAGACCCTCTTACAAAGATAATAAAGTCGTAAGAAAAGGTGAGAGACTGCACAAATAGAATAAAACTGAGGAAGAAGTAGAATTTAAAGTAGCCAGAGAGGTATCTCTAAATGTGTGCCTATTTATTGTTTATGGGCATGAGACTGTATCTGTGAGCCGGAGAGAAAGGGATATTTGCACAAACATACTGTGCAGAATTATATTCTCAGTCTAGGTTCTGGCAGTTATCTAATTTCTCATCCCTTTTTCATCTAGAATTCCCTTCCATTCTCTGATATTATTTCTCAGAAAGAAACCAAAATGAGAATTGGGAGGAAAGATAGAAAGGATTAATAATTAATCTTTTGTGAAAATCCATCCACACAATAATGGAAAGCTAACAATAGCTGGGAATTTAATATAGGGATTTATTGGATTTAATCTACACTCATTTACTGGATATGAATCAGTCCTCATTACCCTTGGTGGCACATTAAAATCATTTGAGTATTTGTCTGTTTTTATCCTGATGCCCTGGGATCCTTAAAATTGTTCTAGGATCGGATAAGGGTATGGCTTAAAAAGCTTCCCAAGTGATTTCAATGTACAGCCAGAGTATAGAAATCCTCTTCTAGAACAGGGTCAAATCCAGCCCATAGTTGGTAGCTTTGTAAACAAAGTTTTATTGGAACATAACCACCCTTACTGTTCATATATTATTTTAGGTTGCTTTTGCACAACCATAGTACTGAGTAACTAGGCAGAGATTTCACATAATCTTTCAAACTAAAAATGTTTATGAGCTGGCTTTTTACAGAGATTTTTGGATTCTTGGTTCAAATTAATCATGACCCAAGTTCAAGAAAAAATGAATGTGATGCAATAATAAAACCACTTTTAATTCATAATGAAATATCTTAGACATTATTAGACTTCCCATAGAAACTTTTCATATTTAAACATGTTTCCAAATACAATTTACGCCTTGAAAATTTCCAGTCATTACTGGGCTGATAGAAAAACATTTTTTGGATACTTGAAAAACTGAAGAAACAGTGAATTTTTAGAATTAGCAATTCAATGTTTGTCAATCCCCCTTCCCTGTACCTCCTCTGTTTAGGTCTTTTTACCTGGACAAATAAGGAATAATGTCAACTTTGCAGAATAGTCGACAAAGAGACGAAACAATATTTTAAAAATTGGTTCAATTATACTAGATATAGAATTCCAATTTTACTGATGTTAATTTCTAGCAAAACAAAACAAAACAGAATACTGAGATTAAAATAACAAAACACTAAAACCAGAAAGTAGGATTTGGTGATGGGCCAAATTACAGGTCACTTTTAGTACTCTATACCTTCAAAATTTCTATAGTAGCATTAGTTTTAGAAAAGACCTGTACAAATAAATGTATTGGAGCTGTACATCCTGAGCTAGAACAAAAAGTCCAGTAATTTTTTTGTGGACCTTTGCATCTCTCAATAATGGCTTCAAAAATAACAAATGCCTACTGATGCTGAAGACAACACAGTGAAAATTTTCTATTATTAAGAACTCCAGGGGTCCAGAGCAGTAGCCTAAGTCACTAAAGTGCTTGCCTTACATGCACAGGGATCCCATATGGGTGCTGGTTCGTGTCCTGGATGTTCCACTCCCTTTCCAGCTCCCTGCTTGTGGCCTGGGAATGAGGTCCAGGAAGATCCAAAGTCTTGGTACCATGCACCTACGTGGGAGACCTGGAGGAGGCTCCTGGCTTCAGATCAGCTAGGTTCTAGCCATTGTGGCCACTTGGGGAGTGAACCAGACGAAGGAAGATTTTTCTTTCTGTCTCTCCTCTCTGTCTCTCCTCTGTAAATTTGACTTTCCAATAAAAATAATAAATAAATCTTTAAAAAAGAACTCCAACTCTGTAATATGTTGGGACTTTTAAGAATAACTAAATCTTAATATTCTCATTTATAAATGAAGACTGGAACTCAAATTGCCTTGAAATAAATGTCATATATATCTTAGACAGCAGAGTGCTTCTACAACAAAGCCCCATAGAGGAGGCAGGTATTTGGCCAAGCAGTTAAGATGCCAGCTGGGACATCTGCATCACATCCTGGCTCAATGCCTAATGCCAGTCTCAAGCTAATGCAGATTTGCCAAAGCTCAAATAGTTGGATTCCTGCCACCCAGAGCAGGAGACATGGACTGCATCCCCAGCTCCCTTCTTCATCCTGGCCCAGTCCTAGTCATTGAGGGAATTTAAGAAGTGCAACAGTGAATGGGTGCTCTATGTTTATTCTCTTTCTTTCCCTTTCAAATACATTTTTAAAAAACCCCACTATACTAAACACATTTTTAAAGGGGGCCAGTGCTGTGGCGTAGTAAGCCAAGTCTGCATTTGCAGCTTTGACATCTGATATGAGCACCAGTTCAAGTCCTGGCTTTCCACTTCCCATCCAGCTCTCTGCTAATGGCACAGGAAAGCAATGGAGGATGGCAGAGGTCTTTGCCTTCTCAAGTCTCATGTGGGAGACTCAGCAGAAGCTCCTGGCTCCAGACCCCCAAAGCTTTGGCTGTTGTGGTTACTTGGGGAGTTAACTAGCAAATGAAAGATCTCTCTCTCTCTCTCTGTAACTCTGCCTTTGAAATAAAAACATAATAAATCATAAAAAAAATTTAAACAATATTGTTTTCTGAGTCATTCAAGAAGGTACTGTTCCATGTGCACTAGAACATTTTTATGAATTGGCTTTTAAAAATCTACTGATTTTGACCACATTTTGTACATGGAGGAGGAAGCAGGGGAGCAACAGGATCTGAAACAGTGACCACACAATAAAAATCCACAGATAACTAGTCCTTATTTGTGTCTAGACCGTGTGTTGATTGTCATGTAATCCTCATAGCAGTACAGGGAGCCTTCAAAGTGTACACAGAGCATGTTTATCATAAAAAAACACACCCAGATTAAATAAAGTTGTACCCAAATAAACTTATCTTTTAACTCAATTTCTACAATTTTTCTGAAGTAGCCCTGCTCCATCAATCAGTTTTAAAAATTAAGTAGTACAGCCCGGTGTGGTAGCCTAGTGGCTAAAGTCCTCGCCTTGAACGCACAGCGATCCCATATGGACGCTTGTTCTAATCCTGGCAGCTCCGCTTCCCATCCAGCTCCCTTGCTTGTGCTCTGGGAAAGCAGTTAAGGATGGCCCAAAAGCCTTGGGACCCTGCAACCGCATGGGAGACCCGGAAGAAGCTCCTGGCTCCTGGCTTCAGATCCGCTAGGCTCTAGCCGTTGCAGCCACCTGGAGACCTAATCAGGCCAAGGAAGATTTTTCTCTTTGTCTCTCTTCCTCTTTGTATATCTGACTTTCCAATAAAAATATTAAAAAAAAATTTTAGTAGATACCCACCCACAAACATTCTTGCCAACATAAATAAATATAATGGATGTTGAAAAACATTCTTATTTAAAAAGAGGATTATAATTTTTAGGGAATATTGCAGGATAAGATCTCCCACTGTGATGGAAAAGAATGTGGCCTATTCCCCTGAATCAGCGAGTTTCAAGTTTCCAATGCAAAAACTCACTTCATAACAAGTCAGAAAGGCCTTCTGGACCACCACTCCAGGCCAGTGTGGGAAGGGGAGGAGAGGGCAAGAGACAGTTCTCTTAGCTCCTGTAGCTAACAGTTCCTTTAGTCTTTGTACCCTTTTCTCCCACAAATCTCATACAGTTCCAAATCTCTATATATTTACTCTAAATACCTGCTCCAGTTCATAGGCCTTTGCTTTATCCTCATCGCGGTCTGCATTCTTCCGGTAGGCCAGGCCCAAACCCCACACAGCCAAAATGCTGTACACGTTATCTCGGACCCAAGCATCTTTCTGGTCATAGCTGGCCGGAAGCAACCCCGTCACTGGATTCTGCAAGATGCAGGAACATAAAAAGAACAGGCAGGTAACCATGGGATACTATTAATATTAACATAGGTTACTTAGGGACTGTGGTCTTTCCTTTACTTCACAATTCTTAAATTTTCTAATGTCCTCATCATGTATTCAACTGCTGAAAAATATTGTCTTTTACCCGAGGTATGATTGATAATCAAAAATCATAAGTAGTTGAAGTCCACAAAATGATGTTTGGTATCTGTGTACATTGTGAAATGACTATTATCAATAAGTTAATGAACTCAGCCATCACTTCACACAATGACATTTTTCAGCGGTGAGGATACTTAACATGTATTCCTTCAGCAAATTTCAAACACACAATAGAGTTTTTAGCTGTAATTCTGATAGCTGTTGTACCTTAGAACCCTAGAATTTACTCAACTTAGACCAGGAAGCTTGAGCTTGGTGCAGTGGCTCAATGGTTAAATCATGGCTTTGTACATGCCGGATCCCATATGGGTGCAGGTTCATATCCAGGCTGTACAGCTTCCCTTCCAGCTCCTTGCTTGTAGCCTGGGAAAGCAGTCGAGCACGGCCCAAAGCCTTGGGACCCTGCACCCACGAGGGAGACCTGGAGGAAGCTCCTGGATCCTTGGCTTCTGCTTTGACCACTGTGGTAGTATGGGGAATAAACAGATGGAAGATCTTTCTCTTCTCTCTGTGAATCTGCCTTTCCAATAAAAATAAATAAATCTTAAAAATATTTTAAAAGATAACAGACTGATAGACTTATGACTGCTTATGAAGGACTATACTATTGCAATAATATGGGAAAAATCAGTTATGGAGAGGGAATTTGGGGAGGGGGTAGAGAAATCCCAGACCTATGGAACTGTACCATAAAATTTTTTAAAAATTTTAAATAAAGAAAGAAAAAAGAAAAAAAATTAAAAAGAGCAGGAATCCTGTGCCTTTTGCCAGTGTTAATGCTGGCTAAGGGAAAAAGCTGGCTGAAGCCCTACAGTTCTGAAACGTGTGCATTATTTTTAAAACAGTTCATTCAAGCTTGTTCTTAAGAGAACAAGAAGTTCCCTTAGTAGTTAAAGCGTTAACTTTGTAGTTGGAAACACTGTTCTACCAATGAGTGGGAAAAACAACCACAGAGTGCCTCCCACCTTCACAATAGTTTAGCTTAAGATAGCTGTAGGTTCCCTATGTCTTTTCTTTGGGAGGAGGGAAAGGAGATAACATACAAAGGAGCTGGGGGAGAGGAGTTCCGGAGAGTGAAGCCTCAGTGCATCTTGAAACTCTGTCCTTGGAGTTCCTCTGTGACTGTTACTGGCAATGAGGGCTGCTGCAAAGCCTTGATCCTGGGGTTGTGTCTAAAGGTGCCACCCAGGTCGTGTTCCAGGCTCAACATAGACCGTTTTGGTTTTTTTTTTTTTTGTTTTTTTTCAGGCCTGTTCCAGCAAGGGTAGGCAAACCTGCTACTTCCCCCCCCCCCCCCACACAGAGGTTTACTCAGGGTATCTGTCCAGGTTATGAGACCCCACCCCCAAATCCCAGGTGGTTGCAGATGACACCCTATACTTACCTGGTGGCACAGGATGGTCTGTTGCACCAGCCGAGCATAGCCGTCCAGTCGCACCCCAGAGTTACTCCGGCTCCTCATCCTGGCACCTTACTAAAGGTCTCAAAAGAACTGACGTGGGTGTTTGAGGGGCCCTAGGCCCATAAGGAAGGAAACTTCACCTCAGCTGCACTCTCGCTGTGGGCAGCCCGAGTGCCAGGCTCGCCGGAGCCCTGAGCCCTCACGGGCCTGTGGCCGGTGGGTCCTGCGCACGGCTCCTTGTTCCTGCGGCTTCCGGAGTGCACCGGCCGCCCGCGCCGCCCAGAGCCGCTCTCTGTCTATGGGCCTCAGCGCGGCGCTGCCGCTGTCCTCGCTCCGCCCCCTCCCTCAGTCCCGTCCCGCGTCTGCGCGTGGCTCGTGCATCTTCTTTCTCCCCGTGGATAGAGTCGCGGCCCAGAGTCTCCCGCCCGGCGGCAGACGGCAGCGCACGAGTGGTGGCGGTACCTCCACCTTGCGGGAGACGCTGGCCAGCGCGCAATCTGGTCCGCCGGCGAGCGAGAGGCGGGGCAGGCGCGGCGGGTCCTGGCAGCTGCGCACTGCACCCTGGGGCCTCGTAGCCGGCTCCCCTACGAAGAATGTGTCACCCTAAGCGAGGTTTATTTTGGAAACACTGACTATTTCTGTTTTATACATTGACTAGGTGTATGGGATGTTGAGCACACTGCTGGTGATTTCTCATGTGGGACTACTTTTAGGAACCGAAGGTAACTTGAAAAGTGAAAGAAAAAGTTCCTTGGCGGTAGACGTCTAAAGAACTGGATTTTGAATCTTCACTAAAAGCCCAGATAAAACGCCTCACTCTGACCCAGACTGAACAAGTTAGACTAGGGCCCGTTACTCCTTAAAAACTGGAGAGTGACCAGATTAAGGAAGGTGGAGGCAGTGGCGCGGCACACGCCTGTGAGGGAGGACTAAGCTGGGAGCGAACCGCGCCAGGGGGCGGACACCGGAGCACTGGAGCTGGAGCAGATCCTGTAACTGCTTTGGATGGCTTCCTCCTGCGCACGGAGGTCACAAGGCTGAGGCAACAAAAACTGAACTGAAAATAAAGCGTGAGTGGAAAAGAATCTTGGTAATCATGCTGGTCAGTGGCTCCAGGAGAAGTCAGCCCACAACCCATGGGGACACTCAGCCTTAGTGGCTTTGCTTCCTATCTTCTGATCGCACTCCTTGCTCTGGACATATTCAAACTCTACGTTTCTCAAGGTTCATCAGCTGCCTGTCTCAGAGAGTCAACTGATTAGGCCAGTTGATCTTTTGTAGTCTAAGCCTCCCTTAGCCACTTCACCGAGGCCACAGTGATTTTGCATTTTCATATCTTTTTAAATTAAAATTTGTCTCCTCCTAAAATTCCACGGGTCCTCTAATACCACCCCTCTCCCTACTCAACTTGATATATGGATAGGAACCTAGTAGGTGACTAGCAAATAGCTAATCACGATGATGCTGAAGGAAGAACTCCGGCCTGGATAGCTTAGTTGCTGATAGAGTTAGATACAGTGATACACTTAAAGTTCTCTAAGAAATATTTTTCCATTGTAGTCACTTGAGCACATTTAGGCATCTCTGCTCCTCTTCAGACTCCCTGACGTTCCCCCCTCAGCCTCTGGCCTCGGAAGCCTTCTCTGTCTTTGTCTTGTTCAAACTACCGACTTATCTATTTTCTCCACCTCAATTGTTAAAAGTATGACCAGATTCGGTATGCCAGGAATGGCGTGTCACTGAGAAAGATAGCTGCCTGGTGACTGGGAGGCCTGGCTGGAAGGCATTGCCTTAGTGCTCTCAACCTCTGTCCAGTCCAGCAGCCTGAGAAACTTAATCTGCTCAGTGTCCTAGAACTGGGCAGACTCAGGGGGCTGACTCATGCTGACTGTCATAAGAGCTGGAGGTATGAAAGGCAGGATGCTGGTCAACAATGAGAAATAGAAAAAAATGGGGACATAATTTGACTTATGCTGGCTACTACATTTGCTCTGCTTAACAATATGTAGGCCTCACTAGGTCCCACATGCTCTTATGTTTTGTATTAATAATCCTACAAAGTAGATTCTCTTATTAACCACCTTTCAAGTGTGGCGAAATTAAGGCACACACGTTTAGGTAATGGAGCAATGTGCTCTCTCTATGTTGGCTTCCCTGACTCTCCCTATCTCTGCTTCCTTGACTTTTCCACACATTCTTCAGACATGTCAAAATCATCATCCAAGTTACAGTCAAATTTTGTCACTCTGAAAGGCATTATGTTTCATGCAGGTGACTTTCCGGTTAATTGCTTATACATTTAGCTCTCAAAATTTTATTTCCCAAGATCTTGGAAGACTTTGCTACTTCCTTATTAGAAGTTTTAATCATGTTAATTTTACAAATCCAAAATTGTAAAAACCTATAATTATTTTCCAATTTAGGTTAATTCCATCTTACTCTTTTATAATTATTAGCGATCCTACTATTTAAGTATTCATAATTATTAGTAATAATTATTCTAATATTTCATTTCTTGAAAAATAGCTTACCAATATCTACTATTTTCTATTTATTCTTAAGATTGTTAAAAAATACAAGTAATATATGAATACTTTTTAAAAAGTTTTTAGTTATTTGAAAGGCAGAGAGACACTGGGGAAGCGCACACAAGAGAGATGTTCCATTTGCTGGCTTGTTGTCCAAATGACTGCAATGTCTGGGGTTGGGTCAAGCCAAAGCCAGGAGTCTGAATCTCAGTCTCTCCAGCACGTGTCAGGGATGCAAGCACTTAGGCTATTTTCTGCGGCTTTTACAGGGATTTGGGTTTAAGACAACCCTAACTCCACCTGGCTGATATGGGATGCCTGTTTCGGAAGCAGTGACTTAACCTACTGTGTCACAATGTTGACACCATATGAACACATTCTCTATGAAAAAGTTTAAAATATTACAGACAAGTTAAAATGACCTGTGTTTATCACCTTTCATCACAGTTCCCTTCCTCCCCACCCCCACCTGCCCAAAAGTAATCACTCTTATTGGACTCCTTAGTATACTTCCAGATTTTTCCTATGAATATATATATTTTTTCCTATGAATATATATAATTTATATACATAAAAATGTAGCTACAGTATGTAATTCATAGTAAAGGAAAACACTGCATTGTTTTATATTCCTGTATACATGTCCCCTGGTTTGTCTTTTAATGTTATTTGATACTCACCAAATCCAAGACAGCAGCACTAATTCATTACTATGAATTCAATCCACTTAGAATTTGTGTGTTTTCCCCTTAAGGTTCTGTTCGGCCTCATCCACGGCACTCCATGGAAGACCTCCTCAGTCTGGAAAGTGAACATGCCTCAGGTTGGCCCTGTTTTCCATGAGCCTAACAATTCTGAGTCATTATATAAACAATGCAGTGTTTTCCTTTGCTATGAATAACATACTGTAGCTACATTTTTTTTAGATTATTTAATTCAAGCCATAGGACATGCATATCTAGATCTGTTATTACATAGATCTCCATACTACAGCATTATGTAGGCATTAGGAGGTTCTATCTTACGCATCACAGGTTATGTAGGCGCTGTTCTATTGATGAATTAGACTTCTGAAAATAGTACCTCAGTACATGTCATCTTGTGAATGCATCCAAGTGTTTTGGAAATAGTAATTTAAATTTTTGAAATAGATAACAAGCCACTGAAATGATCTGTGCTAACCAACAGCATTATTGAATTCTCATTTCTTGTTATCCTAATACTTGATATGATTAAAATTCAATTTTAACTATCGGTACAAAGTGATATCTTTTAATTTCATTTTATTGAGTACTAATGTTATTGATGATCTTTTCTGTGTTTTTAAATTTATGTGTGTTTATATTGTGTTTATTTAGTTTATCTCATTTATTCTAATTAACAAGTTCATAGACAGTAATTTTTGTTTTGCATCATTCATCTTTTTGCTTTTGAGTTATAAGATTTAAAAATATGCTTTAACTTTTTTTTTAAAACAAATGTAAGAAAAATGTTTTTCTACAATTTGTCTATTAATATTTATACTTTTTAATGTAGCTTTTAATTTTAATGCAGTCAGATGAATCATTTCATGTTTTGTCTAAAGAAAGCTTTTGTTAGTGGATTGAAACCTGGTTTTCTCAAAAGCTATGTGCACCTGGGATCCATACAAATAATCTTACTTGGAAAAATTCTTTGCAGATTTAATTAAGGAGCAGGCTCAAATGAGATCCAGTGGGGTTCTCCTACTCTGCTCCTAACTTAATCACAAGTGACTGTAGGAGAAGATGAGAAGACAAAAGGAGAAAGCAGAGATGTGAAAGTGATGCATTTACAAGCCAAGGATGCCAAGAATTGCCAACAGCCACCAAAAACCAGAAGTGAGACAAGCGGCAGATTCTTCTGCAGAGCCTCTGTAGGAATCGCCTTGGAGACATTCTTACTTCAGATAAGTTGGACCAAAAAATTGAGAGTGAACAAATTTCTGTTGTAAACCTCTACATTTGTGGTAATTTTTCATAGCAGCCTGAAGAAATTAAAATCTTCCAGGATTATCAATATATTGTTATTTTCTCATATTTTTAGTGTTGCACTGTTGTCTGTAGCCCTTGGTTATTTTGAATTTTTGAATTTTTGAATATTTTGATTTTGAACATTTTAGATACAAAGTTGACATTTTTCTGAAGTGCTTAACCAATTATGTTAATGTTTTCTACTGATTTTCCCCACTGATTTGAAATATTCTGTTGTCTTAAAAATGTCACCAGTATAATTTTGCCTTGGAATTTTAGAATTATTTAGTCATGCTCTGAGTATGAATTGGTAGATTTGAGGAGAATTGACTGACAAAATTTCTTCCACTAAACTTTGTGTTTTTGTTCTGTGAAACATTTTTTTAAGATTTATTTATTTTTATTGGAAAGGTAAATATACAGAGAGGAGGTGAGTCAGAGAGGAAGATCTTCCATCTGATGGTTCACTCCCAAAGTGGCCACAGCAGCTGGAGCTGAGCCAGTCCAAGGCCAGGAGCCAGGAGCTCTTCCGAGTCTTCCACACGGGTGCAGGGTCCCAAGGCTTTGGGCCGTCCTGGACTGCTTTCCCAGGCCACAAGCAGGGAGCTGGATGGGAAGCAGGGCCGCTGGGATTAGAACCGGCGACTGTATGGGATCCGGCGTGTGCAAGGCGAGGACTTTAACCACTACACTATAGCGCTGGGCACATTGCAAAACACTTTAAAAATATATATTTATTTATTTTTATTGGAAAGTCAGATTTACAGAGAGAAAGAGAGGCAAGAAGATC